TATGTGAATCAACTTTAGTTAAACGAATTCATATTATGATCGCAATAATTAATATAGGTATCTTTACATGTTATATTAATTTACCGAATTTTACTATATGATCTAAATCTCAAACTCACTTCTCGATTCGTAAGAGACTCACATAATCATCAAATTATTGATCACGTAATTTAATGCATTAAACTCATAATAAAACTAACAAATAAATCACAGAAATTTTGAATAAAAAAAGTAAAGGATCACATGTCGACTACATTGTTTTCCATAATATAAAATTTAGTTATTCATATTGCAAAAATAAAAATACGCAAAAGTGAAAAGAAATCACCAAAAATTGACGAAACGTGAAAATTTCTGATATTTATAGTTTCCTTACTTTTTTTTTCTTCTTATTTTTTTCTTTTTTCTTTCTCTTCCTTCTTTGCCCTTTTTTTTCCCTTTCTCTTTTCTATCTCTCTCTTTTCTTTTTTCTTCTCTTTTCTTTCTTGCGGCAGTTTTTCACTCCTCCGTTTCCAAATTTATTGAAACTCATTTAATTCGAACTCATTTAATGTAATATTTCTCTCTCAGGTTTCATCTTTGAATTTTGTCATTTTTCGTCACATTTGCATTATTTTCTCCAATTTTTCATTAAACATAAAGTTTTACCTACAAAATACAATATAACATAAATTATGTAAAATTTAATCCAAAAAAAAATAAAATATCATGGTTTAGAGACTTAAATAAGTGTAGAAACTACACTTTGCAGGTAATTTGTGAGTATGCACATGGTGCGATATCACAATGCGCCTTTATTATAAGAGCATATATATTTATATTTTTCAGTAGATATTTTATTTTTATTTTTTGTCCAGATAAATGGCACAATATTTAGGAAAAAATGCAAAAAAAGTTATGAATATGTATATATAACTTTGACGTATGAAATTGTTTTTGAAGAACTTAATAGCTTGGATGATGCTTTGTTGACGTCATATGAAATTTTGGGCGTTACGAAGGTGCTTTAAGCATTATCTATGCTTTTTTTCATAACGTGTGAACAATA